GAAACTTGTTTTTCATCCAAGTAAGGTATAAACTTCTCTACTTCTTGACACCTATTAAGGGCACAGGCTTGGGTCTTCATCTCATAACCCCACCATCTGTCAGACTGACTAACCCATAAATGTTTGATGGAATTTATCAAACTCAAATTCTTCCATCTAGTCAACTCTTGGATATTTGTGATTCGGTTGGGGAGGAATGGGTTGGCAAGGAATGGGAATGAACTGTGCCTGTCAATCCTCAGCCTCAACTTGACTGTTGATTGTGTCCTATGCCAAAAGAATGTAGGTAAAATATCTTTTGAAGAGTTCTTTATAAACTAATATTAACATTAGTTTGTATTTTTGGAGCTTAGGCAAGCAATGGAGAGTTGCAACTTACTGTTGTGAAATGTATGTTTTTGCTACGGAACAAAACAACTTAGAATTCTTTTTTTTTTTTTTTTTTTTTTTGCGGTACGCGGGCCTCTCACTGTTGTGGCCTCTCCCGTGCGGAGCACAGGCTCCGGACGCGCAGGCTCAGCGGCCATGGCTCACAGGCCCAGCCGCTCCGCAGCATGTGGGATCTTCCCGGACCGGGGCACGAACCCGTGTCCCCTGCATTGGCAGGCGGACTCTCAACCACTGTGCCACCAGGGAAGCCCAGAATTCTTTTTTTTTAATTCCAAGAAAATTTGTTATAATAATGACTGCCTCAAATAGTTCATACATCTTATACAAACAACTGGGTAAAATAATTTCTTGAATCAGTAATTTGCTATTTCTTGAACAATTGTTATAAATCCTATCCAAATTAGTCAAACTCATCTGTCGTATCTTGAGCATTTCTCAGTTTGGGGTCAGAAAATACTGAGTCTGATTAATGTAAACCATGTAAGTCTAGGTACTCAAAATACTTTTGCACACAAAAGACTTATTTATGAAATACGTGTTTGGCTTGATACACAAATATGTATATAAATGTATATCTTTCAATACATGTTCTTCTCCTAGTGTTGAGGTTCTTATCTTAGGGTGGAGTCTAGAGACTCCCAGAATGGAAGGAAAATCAGTGAACTTGGACAGGGAGAAAATTGTCATTTTTATTTTTCCAGTCTCCAAGTAAAATTTAGCATTTCCTTCAATTTTGAATGAGGGTAGCAAAACAGTCCTGATAGTATCTATGATTTTTATCGCTAATAGAACAGATATTCTCATAGTATAATATAGTCGTTGCAGATATCTTTAAACTGTCATTTATGATTTGAAATTACCATTGTTACTAGGCCTGGTTCTAGATCTAACTATTTAATGTGTTAATTAAAAGGCACATATATTACTATGCAGCAAATTTCTTTAACATTTTAATAACGTACCAGTTTACTGTACAATACTACATATTTTGCTTTGTACTTTTAAAAACATTATTGTGAAGACTGCCAAAGAGGCCCAGGATGCATACACGCCCACACACAAATAAAACCCCTCTGCTAGAATATCCCAGTAAAATTTTTATAATATTTTCTCATAGGTGTTTCAAGAGAAATTAGATATACATTAAGTTACTAGTAGTTGATGAATTGTATTCAGCTGATGTTTACTGTTAAAATTGTCCACATACTGTAATTTATGTATAATATTTATGTAGAAGTAGTAACCCCATAATACAGTAGTCAGAAGTTTTTCTTATTTGGCAGACACCTAAGATTAAACAAAAAGACATAGGATTCATTTTAATTCATGAAAAGAGTTCTTGTGAAAAGTAATTTTGAAAGAATTAAAGATTATTGTCTTTTAAATCTCAGACTGAGTATGCATTATTCTATTTCAGGAGTACCCAGACTTCTAAGTCCCTAAGAAATAAATAGTTCCTAACAAATTAAAGGTGAAATAAAAATGTATTTACATTTTGGAATCTCATTTGAATTAGGTTCATTGTCGTTTTAAAAACAAACTACCAACTTTCCATTTCAGAAGGAACTTTTACTTTGAAATATTTTGAGCTTATATTAAATGAGTTTTCATTCTTTCTGGTTTGAATATCCTCTGTGAAAAGAAGAAGTTTAGAAATTTTAATAGGCACAGGAAGTAAGTTTTAAAACTTGACATTTTCTTAAACAGTCTATCTGATGGGTAGCCTCCACACAGATACTTAAATTAAGATTGTATTTGAAATCTGTACTTTATTAAAAAACAGACCTAATATTGATCTCTCACTCTGTTCCCTTTACCACCTCAACAATTAAAAAAAAAAAAAGATTCCTTACTAGTGTATTTGAGTGAAAGTATAACAGTTGTTGCTTAGTTTCAAGTCTTTACTGGTTGTTTGAGATAACGTTTCAGGAAGAATTTACAAGGTTAAAAGGGCTTGGTGAGTATTTCAACTATTAATAAGTTGATAGTGTATTGTGAATGACAACTCATTGGCATAGTCTTTTTTTTTTTAAACTTTATGATATTGGTTTAAAATGTTACTGTCTCCCAATTCTGTCCTGCCAAGTGTATGAGACATGATTTGTTGTGTTTTTCTTTTCATAAATTTATTTATTTTATTTCATTTTATTTTTGGCTGTGTTGGGTCTTTGTTGTTGCATGTGGGCTTTCTCTAGTTGCGGCGAGCGGGGGCTGCTTTTCATTGTGGTGTGTGGGCTTCTCATTGCAGTGGCTTCTCTTGTTGCAGAGCAGTTGCTCTAGACACACGGGCTTCAGTAGTTGTGGCTCACAGGCTCAGTAGTTGTGGCTCACGGGCTCTAGAGTACAGGCTCACGAGTTGTGGTGCACAGGCTGAGTTGCTCCGCGGCGTGTGGGATCTTCCTGGACCAGGGCTCGAACCCGTGTCCCCTGCATTGGCAGGCAGATTCTTAACCACTGTGCCACCAGGGAAGCCCCATGATTTGTTTTTAAAGGCAACATTTTCTTAAAATTGACGACATATACTGAGAATGATTTTTAACATCTCATAAACTTGTTTAATGTAGTTGATTAATAAAGTACTACCTGCAAATCATAGATGTGGGCTGTTCTTTATTTTTTCCCAGTGATCTGTCTGCCTGTTATGGTGTGTTGGCATATCCCTTCAGTCTCTTCCATATTCTTGGTCTGGCAGGGAGGGGTGTGTGTCAGAATTGCAAATGCATAATCCTTTAAGGATTTTGTGAAGCCACATTCCAAGAGTTGAAGTGTAGAATCTAAAACTGTGAGATATCACCTTGATTTTTATAAGCGGTCTTACTTGTGAAGGATATATTTAAAGAGTTAGAAATGTTTTTCTTTTTAATTTCATATGTGTATTTTGCAAATTAAAATTCTTTACGTAGAACATACTACTTGGTGGTGATAATGTGAGGCAACTAGACCACATTAATTAACCTGTTCTCATAAATCAGCATTTTTATGTGTTGGCATTGCTTCACGTGAAATAGGTGCTTCATCAGGAACAGACAGTAAGTGCGTCTTAAGACATATGCTGTAATATCCTAATGGGCCCAGAAATTATACTCTTAATTATTAAAGTGTTTTCTAATAACTGACTTTGTTATTGGAAGAATTATTTTGTATATCTAAAGGTTCAGTAGATGCCAAGTTCAGGTTGTAAGATTTCTACATCAGTTGGCCAGTTGAATACATCAGTGGGGTGCATACATCAATGAAAATGATAGAGTATTACTACATATGTCTCTAAGTTTTTTTTAAATTATGCACCCTATCGGTAAACAATTTTCAGCATCCCATCTATGTGTGCAGTTTTTTAAATTAATAAACTATACATTTTTATATAATCACAAGCTGATATCTCAGTGTATAGTATACAATTATGGTGACTTCATATAGCCTCAATAATTTTAAATATTTTGGATAACTTGTCAGATTTAATTACATTGTGTTTTTTTTACCCTGAAATGAAGAAAAAGAATTAGCTGTGCCATTGTCATTTTTACTTGTATCTCTATCTTTGATATTAACATCAAACTGTGAACCTTGCAGAAATCTTTTTAAGCAACATGTCTATTTGTGAAAGACTGTTTAGTTTAAAACTATATACTATTTGAAAATTGGCTTTACTGAACTTACTTAAACTCATGTGTATTGAAAAGTAAACGAGTAAGAACACTACTGTCAATTGTCAGCACTGTGAGACACCTGCTCTCCCTCTCAAGCTGGCCTATACCATTCCTGATACTTAGCCATCAGCTTTTGAACTGTAAATATAATCCCAACAGGAATTCTTATACATTTCGGGGAAGAGTATAAATTGGCATGACAACTTCAGAGAAAGGTAATACTTATGAAGTTGAAAGTGTGCATTGTTTAACCCAGCAGTTCCACTTCTTTGTGTCTATCCTGGAGAAACTATTATGTGTGTATAGGACGTGCAAGTATATTTGTTTAAGCATTATTCATGATAACTAGAAAAAAAAGCAGAAACTGTTTTTCTATTTTTCAGTAGGAGAATAGATCAACTGTGGTTTTATTTGTATAATGGGACATTTTATAGCAGTAAAAAATGAATGAACTAGGTGTTTACTTTTAACATATATCTCAAGATGTATACCATGTAACCCCATCTGTTTAAATGTATTCAACACAAATAGTAATGTATATTGTTTGAATACATGAATATGTACTAAAAGATTCAAAATATACATGGGAATCATACCAGTTTTATGATAGTGGTTACCTTGTGGTCTAGGGTGAGATGTGAACTGTATCTTTACTGTTTCAATTTCTCAGAGAGAGAAGGAAAGGGGAGAGTGTTCAATCTGAAGCAAATACGGGAAAACATTCTCACTTGTGGGTATATGAATCATACTATTGGCTCTATAGATATCCATGCTTTTGAATATTTTTTTTTCATTATTTCACGTGACTTGAATGGTAGTAAGCTTTTTAAGTCTTATTTATTGGATTTTTGTCTTCTTGTTTCTCATTGGTTCTCTGTACTTCCATGAATGGTCTAGAAGTTGAATTGACTGTGTGTCAGTAAATGAGGATTTTTATATGGAGCTATTTTCTTTGTTTTACAGGAAAAACTTCAGAGAGGGGCTCATTTTCCCTGTACAGCAGAGATACTGGATTACCAGGCTGTCAAGTAAGTTAATAAATAACAAAAGCAATGAGATAATTCTTTAACACATAGATAAAGACTTTAACAGAGGAGGTAGAAATTTATCCAGTTTATTTCACCATTATTTGTGCATTTAATTTGTGACTAAATGTGGTGGGTTTTTAGTAATTAAACATATTTTCTTTTTTTCTGCTCCTCTGCTTAAAATGGTTTCCCTTCCACAGTTCACCAGATTTTCTTTCTCTAGCATCAAAGAATTTCATAACTCACCTCCATTTTAACTGGAGGCAAAGTAACAGTTAGCTTCCTACCTTCTTCCAAAATGCTTATTTCTGAAAATGATGTTTATTTATTTCCTCATGAAAAGAACAGTGTTGCCGATAGAGTACAAGAAGAACATAAAATTGCTCTGTGTAGCTTGACCATCCTATGTTAAACTTACTAATGTTGGAAGTACTTTCATTTCAACCTGTTACCAAACTCAGGTCTGGCTGCTTGCTGCTTGAAAATCAATACCTGAGGGGCAGGTGCTGGTAGAAAGGAAGATTGCTTTTAATCAGACAGCTGGCAGTCTGGGGAGAAGGCAGACTTGTGTCCCCCTCAAAACTAACTCCGAAGATTCTGCTCAGCCAAGACAGTTTTTAAAGGGGAAAAAAAGAGCAAGTAATCTCAGTTAATCATTGAGATAAGGGATCAGAGTCATTGCCATCCCCCACTGCATGTAGTCTTGTTGACTTCTTGTGATCTTTCTTTAGATGCTGTCTTGTTCACAAGTTTGTTCACACAGTTTGTTCATGAGATTACTAAAGGGGAAACTAGGGGAGAGGTCTGGTCATCTGTTAATTACTTATTCTTCATTTCTTCTTCTTTGATCTATGGGAAGAACCAACAGGTTAGGCAAGGTATTGTGTCATCAAAAGATCTGAAAACTGCTTGGGCCAGAGATGACCAGACCATGGTGAGTGCCTGGTTTAAGGGTAGTTATAATATAGCTTTGCTAAAGTGACAAGACACACGGGGTTTCCTGTTGAGGGCAGTTTCTTGCAAAGTGCTACTTGCAAATCCACATCCAATTTTTTGAGCTTTGTACAGTCTCTTTGACTTGTAATCTTTCTTTCAGCTCTTGCATATTCCTTAGCATGTTGCATTTGTACTAATGGCCATTTTCTCTGCTTCTTTCCCCACATCTTTACACTGAGAATCCTAAACACTCAGTTTGCCAGATTCCCATCAGTGTCAAGCCAGAAAGCATACAAAGGAAAGGCAGAATATATTAAATTAGTTTTCTGCTGTCTGCATGCCTTTCATGAGACCCACCCTAATTTTAGACATAGGCACTTAACTGTCATACTAACAATATTACTTCATTTAATACCTACCCCATAATTATGCCTTTCAGAATCAGAATACCTAGGTTCAAATCCCATCTCTGTGAGTTTCTGACCTGTGGTTCTAAGACAAGTCATTTAACCTTAAATCCCATCTCTGTATTGACTTCTTCATTTGAAAAATAGAATTAGCAATTTTTTCCCCACATACTTTGTAAGTCTCTGAAGGCTAAACTGCATGTACTTGAAAGGGAGAGACAGTATTTTACAAAATGAATGCATATTTTAAAATGTTTCTATTCATATAACCCACCCCAAAAAGCTATTCTGAGTCCTTAATATTATTTTTAAGAAACCAAAAAGATTGAGAACCACTGGTCTAATGTTAACACTACTGCTAAACTTGAGGAAAAAAAACTGTTGTAAGGTCTTTGAAATTACAGCTGAAGCTGTTAAATTATTGTTAATGCTTATATTAATTAATGAGTTTTCACTTAACATTTTTTATACTCCCTTGGCAAAGGTGTTGCTATTTAGTTAGAATCAGTGATAAGCTCCATTTATGTAATTCTCCAATTTTGCAAAGATGAATCTTAACAGTTTTTTGTTTGTTTGTTTGTTTTAAATGTTGAGCCTTCTTTTAATTTATTTATTTTCATTTTTGGCTGTGTTGGGTCTTCATTTCTGTGCGAGGGCTCTCTCTAGTTGAGGCAAGCGGGGGCCACTCTTCATCGCGGTGCGCTGGCCTCTCACTGTTGTGGCCTCTCTTGTCACAGAGCACAGGCTCCAGACGCACAGGCTCAGTAGTTGTGGCTCACGGGCCTAGTTGCTCCGCGGCATGTGGAATCCTCCCAGACCAGGACTCGAGCCCGTGTCCCCTGCATTGGCAGGCAGATTCTCAACCACTGCACCACCAGAGAAGCCTGACAGTTTTTACCAGTGATTAATATGTGTTTATACCAGATTTAATTCTCATATCAAAACATTTATTTAAACCTAGATGCATAGCACTCTAATAATAATTGTTATCATTTACTGAGCACTAACTAAGCCAGGCATTGAATACACATTTAATCTGCCCCCCCTCCTTTTTTTTTTGGCCATACCCACAGCCCATGGGATCTTAGTTTCCTGACCAGGGATTGAACCCAGGCTCTCAGCAGTGAAAGCCCGGAATCCTAACCAGTAGGCCACCAGGGAACTCCCACATGTACTCCTTTTAACAGCACCCATTTTGCAGGTTAGAAAATGAGTGTTCTCCAGAGGTATCAGTAATTTGCTCAATGCCGTATACCTAGCAAGTGGTAATAAACCTTCTAAACTCCTGCTTGATGTTTTTAGCCTTGATGTAATTATACTGCAGGTAAGAATCCCTTACCTCCCTCTCATTTTAATTTGTTCAGTCATGGAGGGGCCTGAGAATTTCTATTTTTAACAAGTACCCCAGGTGATTTTAATTCACATCGACTGGGAATTATGCTTTGAGACACCCAGTTCCTCTGTATACTCCAAATACAAGCACATATGGAGTATTAAAAAAGAAGAAACTGTAAGATTGCTTTTTAATAATTTTTTATCACATGTTGGAGAGATCAGGCAGGCCTAAGGAAAAGAGAACAAGGTTACGGTAATGTATGATATGTAAAATAACAATATTCCTGTATACAGGAAGATTTATAGGTATTCAAGTCAGGGAAAGATTTGTTTTTGAAGAATTCATGGAAGCAGTGCATGGGCCCCAAAGAGAAAGCCCAAAATTCAGCACAGATGAGAGAAGATTATACTGCAACAAGGATAAATAACATCAGTGAAGACCAGAGGGCTCTTAAAATAAGTGAAAGTATTCCTTACTGTGAAAGGAACAATGGCTTTGCTATTTATTACTGTTACTTAGCTCTGGCTATGCTGTAGTTGCCAGAAGTTATGATGGTTCACACCAGCTGATTTGAGGCCTAAGTAGTAAACCCAGGAAATTCAAGAGTTTAAAAAGATGTATCACTCCCATTCAAAGAAAAACCTGTATTCCAAACTGTATTTATTGTAGTGGGTCAGAGAAAAAAAAATACACCAAAACAATTAATAATTGGCTGCCATTTTATCTTACCTGTTCACAAGCAACATAATAATCTTAACCACACAATGATACTAGAAGAAAATATAAATAGTGACTACAAAATTATATCCAAACACAACTTTGAAATCATTTTTCTTCAACAGAATCCCCAAGGAACATTTAACTCTGCTATTAATGTACATAAAATGCTGCTGACATACTGCAAAAATCAGGCTAATTTAATAATGCCTGATGGGCCTTACTTCATGTTAAGATGATGTAATAATATGTTGCTAAATGAGTCTCCTTATATTACCTTCACGGCAATGGCATAACTGATGAGCCATTAAAAGGAAACTGGTGTAGCAGTGTTACTGGAAACATTGATAGATCATTCTGCAATTGAATTTTTTTTTCTGCGGTACGCGGGCCTCTCCCATTGCGGAGCACAGGCTCCGGACGCGCAGGCCCAGCGGCCATGGCTCACGGGCCCAGCCACTCCACAGCATGTGGGATCTTCCCTGACCGGGGCACGAACCCGTGTCCCCTGCATCGGCAGGCGGACTCTCAACCACTGCGCCACCAGGGAAGCCATGCAATTGAATTTTTTTGGTTCAACACAGAGCATAGAAGCCAGCATCTTTATTAACAATAGGTATGGGGGGAGGGATAAATTGGGAGGTTGGGATTGACGTATACACACTACTATATATAAAATAGATAACTAATAAGGACCTACTGTATAGCACAGGGGACTCTGCTCAGTACTCTGATGCCCTATATGGGAAAAGAATCTAAAAATAAGTGGGTATATGTATAACTGATTCACTTTGCTGTACAGCAGAAACTAATACCATACTGTAAATCAACTATACTCGAATAAAAATTAATTCTAAAAAAATAAGAATAATATTAACTGTCCAAAAAAAACCCCAATAGATATAATACTTTAATAACTGTCACCGTGAAGTAAAAACTCCTTTTATGATTATGACAGTTTGTCATTGCTGCCTCTTAAACTTAAGTGTTTATTCAAATTTGTGTAAGTTTTTCTCAAAGTCTTCAGCCTGGAAGAGGCAGAGTCTTGTTTTTTCCCCAAGGGACTCAATTTTCATCAGAGTTAAGACATTATACCCTTGAAAAAAATAACAGTTAACTTTAAAAACTCAGTTAACTGTTACTTAGAAATTTACCCATACCATTTGCTTCTTTAAAATCCTCTTTTTCCATTAGTCAATCTCATTATATACAGACATTTGATAATGATAAAAGTCAATACATAAGGAAGATAAAACAGTGATAAATGTGTATACACCTAATAACAGAGCTTCAAAATAAATGAAACAAAAATCAGTATAATTAGAGAGATAAATTCGCAGTCACAGTTGAAGATCTGAATACCTGTCTTAGCAGTTGACAGAATAACTAGACAAAAATTTAGTAAAGACATAGAACTAAATGAACCATATAAACTACTGTGACCTAACTGATACTTACAACATTCTGTTCCCAACAACTGAAGATATAAATCCCTTTCAAGGGTACATGTTACACTCAACAGGATTGAACAATGTGCTCATCTTTAAATCAGTGTCAATAAACTGAAAAGGTTTAAAATCATACAAAGTATTTTTTCTGACCACAAACGAATTAAATTAGAAGTCAGTGATTTACCTAGAAAAACACCAAATATTTGGAAATGAAAGGACTGTTTCATTTAGACATGGGCATATCTAAATAACCCATGGTTTTGAAAAGAAATCAGAAGGGAATTTAGAAAATATTTCTAACTATAATGAAATATGATATAGCAAAATTTGTTGGTGCAATTAAAGCAGTGCCTTGGAGAAAATGTGTAGCTCTAAATGCTTGTATTAAAAAAGAAGATCTACAGTACATGACCTGAGGTTCTGCCCTATGAGGCTAGAAAAAGAAGCACAGAATAAGTGGAAGGGAGAAAGCAGTACAGATAAGAGCAGGAATCAGTGTAATATTACACAAATAATAGAAAAAGCTAACAAAGCCAGAATTTGATTATTTGAAAAGACCCATAAACTGAATAAGTCCCAGCTAAACTAAGTAAAACAAAGGGGGAGAGAGAAGGAGGGGAAAGAACACTAATTACCAATATCTGAAATGGAAGAGAGGTTATCACTGTAAATCATATATACATTAAAAGAATAATAAGGAAGTGTTGGGAATAACTTAATAAATTTGACAACTTTGGTGCAATAAGCAAATTTCTTGAATATTACTCACCAAAAGGGGACAAGATGAAACAGAGAGTTTGAATAGCTCTCTATCTATTAATACAAGTAAATTCATTTCAAAAGCTTTTTCACAAAGAAAGCTTGACTGTCATATGGTTTCATTGGTGAATTCTTTTAAATGCTTATGGGGAAAAATAATACCAATCTTACACAAACTATTTTAGAAAATAGAGGAGGAGGGAACACTTTGCAGCTCATTTTACAAGGTGAGCAACACGCTGATCCTCAAAATGCACATGTGGTTTGTACCAGAAGTGAAAGTTTGGCTTAATTGTTGAAAATCAGCCAGTGTAATTCAACACATTAA